ACACATGGAGTATACCCCTGGGGGAAAGTGAGGCAGGAGCTGACTGAGTCTTGTACTCAGCATGTGAGACATGGCAGATGACTCAGGTGGCAGTAGGGACACCCATAGACAACAAACACTGTGGAAATATCAGTATCGAGGGTTTAGATGTTAGGCAGAATTTTCCACTTTTGGTGACTTTGAGTGCCTACCATGAGTCTTGTTGGCTGCTGTGGCAGCAGTTTCCAATGCCTCCTTTTATGCCTCTGCATACTCAAGCATACCAAGATACTCTTAAAAATCTTTATCCCAATACTTCCTTAAGCTTATTTATTTCTAACTTATTAGCTGATTGTGACTAGAACAACTGGTGAGAGAATTGCTAGGAGAAAAAATGTGTAATTGTGTGTCTGTACACCAGCTGATTTGTATCAACCCACATCCTGTGGTGAAAAGTGAATTAAAAAACATAAATACTTAGTGGATGTTTTTGGTTTTAGTGAGCTCAAAAGCAGTTTAAGTCTGTCAGCTAAAAAGAAGGATACTGATATTTTCTCAGCAGCAATTCTTTTCAACAAAAGACTGAAAGACGCCTGAATTTAAGCGCACAATTCAACCACGTTAATTAAACTCAAGAGCTGTCCATCTTATTTTACATAAATGTAGCAGTAATCAGGTAATTAGCTTCTTTGCCCTCAATAATTTCTGTTTTTACAAAATTTGAGTCTCTAATTGCAGAAAAAAAGACAAGATTCTTTTTTTTGTTAGTTAAAATTGTAATTTGCATTTATCGTCTTGCAAATAACTTGTGCTTTTTAAAAGCAGCATGATGTGCAGCTGCGTCAGTGCATCTTTATGCTCTGTTGTGCAAGGTTTGGACATGTGATGAATGAAGTTTATACTCTAAAATGAGGATTCTCAGGCAACTCATTTACTTAAATCCTCGTGCTTCCAATTCATGGCAAAATCTGAAATAATTTATCCCACAGAATTTAATGTATAGCACATATGCAGGTTAAATTTAAACTACTGCTTTCATGTGAATTAAAATTACTTACTTTAAATCTCTAGAAAATATAAGAAGAAACCAGTTGAATTTCAGAGTTAATTGGCTGTGAATACTACCACTCTTCAGGAGAAGTCTCTAAGCAACTGCTGTTTCTAGACTTATTTCCTTAGGAAACCTGTATAAAAACCTTTCATAAGACAAGCTGGATTTCATTCAAAGTAGAGAAAAAGGCTTGGTTTTGTTCTTGGCGAGTAGCCATTATATGCTCACATTTGTGGAACATGTCTCCCCTGACATCAGGCTGTAGGATTGCCTTTGTAATTCAAGTCTGTGGAGAAGACATGAAAGATGCTATACTAAAATTGTATCTCTTTACAACAGAACATTACTGATAAAGAAATACAGCCCTATCCCTCAGCCCTTCCCTATCTAACTTAGTTCCTTGATTGTGATTCCTGAGAACAGGGGGTTTATTTTATTGTTATAATTTTTTAGAGAGTAATACTAAATAATTTAGTGAATACAGTAAGTGTTTCTGTGTTGTCACTAGGATCATTTCACAATGCTACACTTCTCAGAGGCTGGTGAAATGTACTTCTGGAACAATATCAGCCTTTCATACTCACAGCCATCATCTCCCAGTTTGCCAAACCATGGGATTTATTTTGAGGCTCTAATACTGTATTGTTCAACCTTTTTGATGAAGCAGATGTCTTGATAGATTTCAGCCTTCCAGAAAAGACGGAATGCCTTTCTCCCCCAACAGGTAACTGATTCTGCATGCTCTCATGTGCAGGGCCAGTGCTCCCAGAGATACTAGGCTCCTTGTGCACAGCCAGCCAGAAAGATTGCATGCATTCTTACATGCATTCAGTTGGCCAACAGGTGCTTCAGGAACCTCCAGATGTTGAGCAAAGACGAATGCAAAGTCCTGCATCTGGGAAGGAACACACTAGGCACCAATGCAGGCCAGGTACTGGCTGTTTTGAGAGCAGCTCTGCAAAAGATACCTGAGCTCCTGGTGAACCAGTGAATCAGGATTCAGCAGTGTGCTCATCCAGTGAAAAAGGCTAACCACATATCAGGCTACACTGAGGACAAGTGCTCATTCCCCTCTGCCCAGGACTTGTAGGTCTCAATCTGAAGCAGGATGCCCAGTTTAAAGGCTGCAGTATGTGAGATATAAACTACACAGAATCTAGAAAAGGTCAAGAGGCTGGAGCACCTGCCCAGGGACCTTCGCCAGCAATGCTCAGACTAGTACCTGCAAGCAGTTGCACAGGACAAACAAACAGGGCTTTCTCCCTGACCAATGGATCAGCTGTGACCGCCTTGTTGGGAAGGATAGAGGTAGCAAACATAATGCTGGAAAGGATTAGTCTATCACTGGTTCCTAAATATACCCCTCTATCCAGACCCACTTCATTTTGCTGTTTGCTGTGTCTCACCTGTTGAACATCTCTGCTATACACCTGCCTGCATTCTTGACTTGTAGTTTCATCCTCCCAAGGGAACTGAGAGCAGCCTGTGTACAAACATCCTTTGGCCTGAGATTTAAGCATAAGTTCTAGGTATAATATCATCTTCTGTAACTGGCTGAGGAATATTATTTCTTTGATCTCATACATGAGGAAAATTACTTATCCAGAACCACTAGTGCTAAAATGACACAAAAGACAAATCACAGACCAAAGTATCTATCACCTTGAAATGACACCAGCAATTATTTCCATACAGCTTCCTGACAGTGACTCCAACTATTTTCTGTTCTACCCATCCTACCATACAAATTGATACTGATATCCACCAGCATGAAAGAATAGGCAGCACATCCCCTGTCTATAAGCCTTTGAAAAGCATGCTGATTTTCTCACAGGCTCTTCTGCAGCTGCAGCTGCTTCTGCCGTATCTGAGAAGGGATAAATTGATTACTTCAAGCAGTTTTGGCACAGGGTGGTGTAGGGATGCTGTCTGAAAAGCGTCAGAGGCTGATGTGGACCAGCAGTGCCATCCAGTGGGACACAACGAGACACAAGTCCCCTCTGAAGCTGTAAGGGCACACGGAGTCCCCACTGCCGCTCCTAGTTGGACCCGAAGGTCCACTCCATTAGAAGAAATGGCGAGAAACCTCTCAAGTTTTGGGAACACTGTCAGTGTGCTGCTGCCTCTGACCTGTGAGCTGGGTAGGTACCCTCACGTACTGCCTCTGAGATGGCAGCAGGCACTTCGATTCTTTGAAGTTTCAAAGACTTGAAAATTAGCACCCCCATAACCCTTCTTTCTGGGAAAGCTGCTCAGGTGAAGCCTCAGTAATTGAGTTTTATAAATCACAGGTATTGTCATTTTCACGTTTTGCTTTTATTTTGTGAATGCTGTTTAGATAAACATCCTGTGGGCAGGAAAGTGATTTTCTTTATAATACTATTAGAATCCTTCATCACAAGATTTCTGGGCTCCAGATTCTGATTGGGGGGGGGGCCCCCCCCATTTTATTTCACACAAATGCATCAGTTGCCTTTACTGTGATAAATACAAAAGCAAATCTATTTTTATATATATATATATATATACACATATGTGTTTAAAAATACATTTTAGTGATGTTCTAATTCCGTATCAAACTAATTTTGAATTTGTAAAAATTTAAGTGGCAAGCATAATTGACTTACAGTTCTGAACTAGCAGACCTGGGAATTTAAATAGTACAAAGGCTTTTAGGTGAATTCTAAGACGTAGTGCTAGGTGAAATCTGCAGTGCATCCATCTCTGCAGCTATCTGACACATGAATTCTTAACAGGCTGGTTGCCTCTTCCATAGCATACCTCTGTGTATGTAAGCTGTTCATTTGCACAGCACACACACTCATCTACCTTGTCTGCATTGATTCACCACAGTACTCAGTTACACAAACTACCCCACCATCAGCTCTGCAATTCCTAAGAAGCTGGAGTACTATCAGCTCTGCACCTAGGATTTCCTAGGTTTGTTTCCTAGGTTGCATCCTTAAAACTTGCAATTCTTAAGTTACCTATCTTTAAGCTAATAAAACTGATGTTCTTTAGATTAAGAAAAATGAAAATCCCTACATTATCTTGATCGTTTAAAATCACAGTGAATTACTATATGCTAATCAGAAAACATACACTAGCATTGTTCATTAACAACTAATGATAATGTTATCTGTTATGACAGCATAACTGCAGACATTGCAAGTGTGCCCATGTGTGCATGCAGATATGTGGGGGCTTAACACACTGAGAAAGACTGGAAATACTGTTCTTTAAAAATTAATTTATTCCTTATGAAGAAAGCGGAAGAAAGATTTTGCATTAAAAAATGTATTTGTTGCAGTTAACATTGCAACTGCTGGTTTCAACACCCTACAGACAGATCATTATGGAATTGTGACTAGCAGGAAAATCACATACAAACAACCAGAAAGCATGGAATTTTCCCCCAGCTACTTACAAGCTTTTGTGTCTTCTCTATTTTAAAGGGCAAAGCACACATACCCTACTAAAAAAAATCCCCAAACCAAAAACAAGGATAAAACACAAAATTACCATATCATAGCTTCCCATGGATTTTCCCTTGAAACTCCCTTATGTGCTGGTTAGAAAACATACAAAATTATCTAGAAAGCTGAGTTGTGCAAAGATGGAAATAAAAAAAAATAAAAAATACACAGTTCCTGTGTCTGTCTTTTTTTATTAAAAAAATTTTAAATTTCTCAAATGTCTTGAATGTTTCTGACATAGCTGTGTTTGTGCATCACATAAACCAGACTGAGGGCAGTTACAGCTGAAGACAATCTTATATTTAGGCCCAAGACAAGACTGTAAGACTTTCGTATTTCCATGGAGAGAGAGATGAGAAAACAACAACAGAAAACAAAACAAAACAACAAAAAAACAAACACCCAGAAACCCAGAACAAAACAAACAAAAGCACAGGCAAAAAATCCGAAAAACATTAAAAAAGGCGAAGACTAGAACTATCCCAAATGACATTAACATAAAAAATGCAATTCCAGCTCTAAAATGTTGTCCTTTTTATAAAAGTACTTGTAACCGCATAGAAAATTTCAACTCACAACTATTCAAATAACTGATAGGTCCTATGTATTCAATAAATTTCCTGAAGTACTAACAATTCTATTCAACATTTTCTCATTACATCAAAGGTTCAAGCTAGTAATTTCACTGAAACAGAAAACAGAGTATCAGTTGAAGTATTTTGTGGTTGGTTATTAAATAATACCACAAACAACTCATATATGGTACCTTGTTTGTTTACTTCTAAGAATTTTGGTCTGGAATAACTTATTGTGTAGGTGCTATTTCTTGTCTTGGTATTGTTTCTGGAAAAAAAATACATGGGAATTTACTCTTTTGAAAGAGATAGAGTATTTCTTTCAACCTATCACCATACAACATACAGTACATCTTCTTTGGTTGGGAACCGTCGCTGTCAAGATCTCCACCAGAAGTATTTACTAAATGAGCGACATGTGCCATAGTGTTATGTATACTTACAGAAGAGATTAGATTATCAGATATACTGAGATTGAATCTTAAATGCCCCATCTTGAAAGAAAGAAGAAACCAGAACACCCAGAGTGCCCCCCAAATAACTTCTGCATCAGCTGCTGGAATCCAGGTAATCCTACTTGTACTTCTAATTCAGAACTACAGTTGGAAGAATATTAAAGTATGTGCAGAGAAATACATGCAGGTTTGTCTTTAAAATCTCCAACAGTGCTCTGTCAGGACACAAAACCTCTATGCAGTAAAACAGTACACAGTTCCATTACTGTGCATTTTTACAATTTGCCTCTTCCAGGAGCCACTCAATTCCATTTAGCAATCCAGCTAAAGTTGCAGCTACAGTGTCCTGCACCTGTGAAAATAAAAAAAGCTGTAGTGGAGATCGCAGAATTTCAAAATGGTGGGGGGTTGGAAGTGACCACATCTAGACCAACCCTCTTGCTAAAGCAGCTTCATGTAGAGCAGGCTGCACAGGATTGTATGCAGGGGGCTCCGAGTATCTCCAGAGGAGACTCCACAACCTCTCTGGGTAGCCCATTCCAATGCGATCACTCTCACAGTGAAGTCCTTCCTCATGTTCAGGTGGAACTTTCTGTACTTCAGTTTGTGCCTATTGACCCTTTTCTTATCGCTGGGCACCACTGAAAAGAGCCTGTCCCTGTCCTCTCCATACACGCCCTTAGGACATTTGCACGCCTTGGTAAGACCATCTCTCAGACCTCTCTCCTCCAGGCTAAACAGCCCCAGCTCTCTCAGACTAGAGAGATAACATATAACAAGATCTAACATTTTAGCATCACTCCATCTATCCTTAAAAGTGAGAAATACTCGTACCAAGTCTAAATTTTTATCACTGGTTTAAAGGTCCTTTAGCCAAAAGAGATGTCTTAAGAGTTAGGTACAAAAAGGAAATACTACTGTACAAAATTAATTGCAAGAGGCATTAGGCAAGCCTTTCATTCTTTGTATCAAGGTGAATTTTATTCATTTAACCAGCTATTCTGGAACATTATACTTACTTTATGAATGAAAATCTACTTGAAAATTCTTCTCATAACTCTTAAAGTAAAATAGCTGCTAGCTTTGCAATTCAAGGCACATTCTCCTCAGATTTTGTAATGTAGTATAAGGAGGTATGTTTTTTAAAAAGCCTGTAAACATTTTCCTCATGAAATCAAAGGAATTAAATCAGAATTTTGGGGGGTTTTATTAAGTATTATTCTTCGGCTACACAACACCACAAAAAAGAAATTATGTGTGGCTGAGACATACTGATATATACTGTGCTTGACAAGCATAAAGGAACAGGTTCAGGGCTTCACATGCTAGGTAAAAACTGATTTGTCAAAAACTCACAAACAAGTAACAATTAAATGTGCCCTGAAAATGGCAGAAAAATCTACCGTGTCTCCAAGACCTTGGATCATGACTCAGAAAACTCGTATTTAAATTAACTGAAGCTTCCTTTTAGTCTCTTCATGGCCAGCATTTTGTCCTTCCTTACATTCTGGGTCCATCTTAACTTTCTTGTGTGTAAGTGGGCAAGCCATGTAGCTCCCCTATGTTCAGCCAGGCTAATGCTTCATCCTAGAGGACCAGAGAAATGAAATTCTTCACTTCACTGGAGACCTCATGTACTAGCTTTGAAAGCTGCACGCTTGCTTAGGCAGGTACAGTTCAGAAATACAAGAAGCCTAAATTAAATTTAAGCCAGAGAGATACAGGAAAAAAGAATAATAAAAGGTTTAAAAGCAAGTACCATCCAGGGCTGATGTAGCAGATTTAGTTGCAACTGATGTGCCACGTAAACACACGGAATTCTTTTCACATCAGTGTGAGAGACACAAGACAAAACCAGCAGAGGTCTGTTTGGAGGCCCGAGGGCTGGATCAATCATTGCCAAAATATGAGCCAGTTCCTCTTGACGATCATGCTCTAAGAAACAATTTTTAAATACAAGAGTATTAATTACATGCAAATTGCAAGGAACTATCTTTTTTACAAGAATTCACAATTTTATAGGTGAGGAAATAGGGCTGGAAGGGACATGACCTTCCTTGTCCCAAGGGTGGATCATCCACATTCATGTCATCACACAGATGGATCATGTAATACTCAGATGTTCTTAAAAGATCTCCACGGATTCTACAGGCAGCCTATTCCCATACTCAGCATCTGAGTGTTTTTCAAGTACCTCCAAGAAATCAAAACTCAATAAGCCACTAACACTCACACACTACAAAGTCAGTAGCCCTTTCCCACTGACCATACTTTTCTCCTTAGTATATTCCTTCACTCTTTTTCACTCTCTTCTGAGCAATCCCCTTCTCTCCATTTAAGTTTATGAACATTAAGACTATTATCAGAATAGGTATTTGACTTATCCTCTTATAGGACTACCCTGATTTGGACTAATTGCATCTTTACTGTAGTTTTACTGGTGTAGGTTCTATTTTGAGGCTATTAAGCCAACAGCAATTCATTTCAGGCTGCTTCTAATAGCCATGCCTAGGGTTTTTTGGTTTGGTTTTTGTTTTGGTTTTGTCTGCTTTGTTTTTAATCTGGATCATTTTACTCCCATAGCTTAGACAGCAACCTTATCAGTATCTGTCACACGAAAAAGTGCCATAAATCCTCAAAGAGAAATAAGGGAGAGTATCTCAGATAGGGAACCTCTTTTACTGGATAACCCATGAGGAAATAGCATTAGTAAAGCTAATTAGTGAAGAAATTTTTAAAGAATCAGAACAGGGATTTTGATGTATTGCACATTCTTTACATCTTTTATGACGTTCCAATCATTTGCAAAATATGAATAAAGAGAAAACCCTTACTTTTATGAGCTTCTGCATTAGCAACGTATATGAATCCATCCACTACTTCGCACACCTTTTTAACTTGAGCTATTACACTGTAGTGCACGGCTTGCTGGTTCCCTATGATGCTGTTCTCTTGGTAGAACATCTTATTCACAGCAACAGCTTGCTCTGCCTTTGCTCTCCTCCTTTCCACACTGAAAGATATTTCAGTATTTTAGCAGTCAGGTTATTTGAGAATGCAAAAACTGCATTTTGAGTCCTGGCAGCACAGGAGAGGGAAAGAAAACAGCCTGAGCCAGCAAAACAGTTTTCTTTCTCCCTGCCCACTCCCAACCTTACTTTTTTTCTAGTGTACCCACACAGATGGTTAGCAATCTGAAAGATGCGTATGAAACTACACCGCAGGATGAGTTTATACAGTGATGCAAAAGGGACCTAATTAACGCATCAAGTGAGCCAGAAGCACCTGTCATGTATTTGTCATAGCAATTTACTGTGCGTAAGGTTTGGAAAAAGTTTCCATGGACATTTATTATGTGCACATCAAAATTTAACAGCTGGAAAAAGTGAAGATATGCATTGAAGCTTTAGACTGTGACAGCCATGCATGTGAATGCACACATAAAAATCACATGATGAAAATATGCAGAAAAGTGTACACTAACCTAGAAATTGTACTTTTTCTTTTTTTTTTTGGTGGAGACCGTATCTTACCTGGTGGTTGAATACAATGTCAGAATATTGAATTTTTGATTGTTATTAAGCTGAAAACTGACTCCTGATCCAATTCCTACAGGGGAAAAATGATTATATGAGGTTACAACCATTTGGTTACTGAATTCAACTAAGTGGTAGGCTAAAAATTTCAGTGATGCTATAAAATGGGTTCATCTAAGCCTACGGTGTTGCTGCTAAGGGTAGCATATTTTCTATTTTACAATTAAATTTTATACATGCTCTGATATGACAATTTAACTAAAATCAATTAAATGGTATTAAAACATCACAAGGGGGAATTTCTGTATTTCTGATACTTAGATTGAACCTTGAAACCTAAGTCAGAGAGGAGCCAGACTTGCATTCTTCAGCTGAAATAGGGAAATGAAAGGCTCTGGTCTGTTTACTACAAACTGTATTGAAAAGGATGTGAGAGAGAAAAAAAGATAACGCCACTAAAATAGTATTTTCACACTTTCTACACATAGTGTAATTATTAAAATTCTCCTGTGCTGAAAGAAACACTAGTTAAAATTAAGACATTTTTTACTCTGGTTTGGACTGAAGTAGAATTACAGATGTTCAAGCCTATTTTTTTAAACATTGAAAAAAAATCCTTCCCTCCTCCTGTAACTCTTCTAAACTAAATTTACACCATTTGATACCAAAATACTGAATCATATGGGATCATTCTTGACTTCTTGTATAAAAACAAGTGTGGTTTTTAGCCACTTACTGCAGGAAGTGCGTAAATAAAGTTCTGTCTGCATTTATCTATTAGAAAAGCAGATATAACATGGAATTCAGGATCAAAATAGAACTACAAGGCGCAAAATGAATCCTCTGATATTGTCCAAATGTAATCATAAATGCACTGAAGCTATAATTTTATCTCAAATGCTTACTGCAATTATTCAAAGTAATACAAAGACAGATTATTTTTCTACCATTATATTTTCTACTATTATTATGAGTTTCAAGCGAAGAATAAAGCATCCTTTTTTCTCCATTTCTCCCCAAAGTTTCTTCTGCTATATCTCTTTATATAATAAAAAAGCTGAAAACAAAACCAGCATTACCATGAATTTGCCTTTGAGGTAGGCCAGCCAGCAGCAGAATTTCTGGGCATGTCATCATCTTTTGTACTAAAGAGTCGTCAAACTCTTCCAAACCTGGCCCAAACATAGCAAAGCGAGGTTCTACCTGAGTGACCAGTGATTGCAAAAAGGAAGTGACAGCCCCATACCGGGGACGGCTTGATTTCAAATTTCTTCTGCTCTGGGGACAGCATTTTTTGTATCTGTGTAAAATAGACATAACTAGAAATTAAACACAAATACAAAAGACATATTAACCAAACAACATAAATTGATTCAGGTCCCACACTTCTTGTACTTTGTCACAACTCAAGCACATGTCAAAAATGATGAAAGTTCCAAACTGATGGTTTCAAGCAGGAAAGGCATTAGTCCTTCTGAAGTCCAAATACTGACTATTCATACCTTAGTGCACTTCTGTCTATGGATCTTTTAATTCACTTTAAAATATAAAGTTACAAATTCCCCACCCTCACTGAACACAACTGGTAAAGTAACATCCAAGCTGATAAGTCACATACAATATAAAAAGTGTGAGACTTCTGAGTGCATTTCCATTAGACTGGTTTTGAATGTATTAACCATGAAACAGGTGACACCACCTAAAAAAGACCATTTCCCCTGTAGGCATAGAGAACACATGTTGTGAGACAGGTGTTGGCTGCAAGCTTATGATGATGTGCTTGTCTGATGCAGAAACTGGAAGGCATGGAAAGGCTTCAGCAATCAAAGGGAAGAGGTAACAGTCATACAAATGGCAGACATCCTAGTGAAGTAGATTCAGTCTCTGCTTCTGTGGTCACAGTAGGCTGCTGCTGGACAAACCTGTTCTAGGAAATCCTAAACATGTGCTTCAGCTGACCTCAGCAAAACCATTAAGTGCTCACAGATACAATGGGAATCAGTGGTAGGTGGTTCCCAATATGTACTGTACAGTATTCAGGCCTAAAGAGATTTAAATCCAATGTTCAAAATCAGTAGATACTTCGCACTTCAAATTCTGGGTGTGTTCCTCCCTCATCTGTAACATACAGATGAAGAGCACAGAGACTGCAGAGGTTAGGGCAGTTATCCTGAAGCAACAGATCCATAAAAATCAGATTGTAAAAAAACTGTAATCAAAACAATTAAGAAAAACAAAAAAAAAAAAACCAAAACCACCACCACAAAAACTATCTATTTAAGAGATCTTAATCATCCAAACACATTATGTGTTGTTAGACTTCAACTATACTAGCTGAAACCACAGTCTGTCTTACAGCTATTGAGCTAAAGCACTACTACTTGTTATTCTGTGCACAAAGAAACCCTCTTTTTTTTTTTTTTTTTTTTTTTTGCCCCCCCCCCCCGGTCTTCCAGGTAAGATTAAAAAAAAAAAAAAATCATTCCACTTGCTGTAAAGACTCATTAGTACCTTTATTAAAGTAAGAAATCATGTCGTACTGAGAGTGAAGAACACATCTTTATCAAGACTAACAATACACACAGATTCTGAGGACTGTATTCCTGTGGCATAATAAACATGCAGTTTACAGAGGGTTTTATTTTCTTTTTGTAGTGTTAGCTTTGACTGTTCCAACATTTTACGTTCTTTGTTCCAAACAAAAAGAGCTGAACTGTCAAAAAACAGGCAACTGTATTTTTAAAATAAACAGTGGATTTGAGACCCGTCAAAAATTTAAGCAGTAGCCTAAAGCACAGAGTGTTACTGCTGTAAATACGAAACATGCCTCTGGGCTATTACTGCTGTAGTAAGTTGTGCAAGAGGATATCAAGATACTTACACTGCCATGTAATCATACAGTGCATTATCGCTGACTTCTGAAAAGGCTTTATTAAAAATCTCGACATCTGGGAGTGATTTCCAATCAACAGATGTCCAAAAAGGGAGATCCCTCAGGAGAAAATACCTCCATAACAATGGATCTTGCACAGCAGCCCTCCAGTAACAACTCGTGCTTCCCAAATGGCACAAGTCTTGTGGCGAGAGATAGGACATGATGTTCAGCTGCACGTCTATCTGAAAACCGTCGAGAGCAGCGGTTTAACAACCCGGGACCCGAGCAATGAAGATCCAAGAGGCTTTCCCCCCTTACCCCTGCCCGGGCCTCACTCACCGGCAGTGTCTGCAAGGCGCTCACCTTCTCCGCCTCCTCCGGGAATGAAGGAGGCGAAAGACCCGCGAATGCGGCGGCAGCGCCGCCTTCTCGGGTCCCTCGCCTCCATCGTTCCCTAAGGATACGAAAACGACCTCGCACAGCACCCTCCAACCCGCCCCTCTCTGCCGTTCCACCAGCCGCCATCGCACCAAGCCCCACTGCCTCTGCCACCGCCCCTCAGAGCTACCGCGCCGGCGCTGGGGCGGAGATACAGGCGGTCCTCCGTGTGTGCCAGCTCACTGCAGTTGTTTGTGGTTTTGCCTTAGGAATAGTTGATACGGAGCTGTATTCCGGGAGTTCTCTGAATGCCCCTTTTTAATGCAAGAAAAGTGTAGTTTTGATAAGAAGGATGGTCATATCCTGAAGCAGCGAGCTAAGCGAGCTCTTCAGACACAAGATTTTTTCCAGTGCAGCCTGTTTCAGTTGTGGGGTTTCATGAGGTAACACAACATTTGTTTTGCAGCTGCTGTGTTCCACCCTTGGCCTTTTAAAGGTCCCTCGCATGCAGCCACATATTTCTCTAACATGTTTTTGCCCGTTTCTCGGAAATCCAGCCAGACACTCTTTGATCTGCAACCCAGGTCACTGTTAGAGACAGGATCTGTTGTTTCAAGGCTTTCCTGCTTCCCTTCTCCACAGTGTTGCAGTCCCCAGTAGCACATTTCTCCACCGTACATCATTGCCAGTAAGTGAGTGTCACTAAAGACACCTGCAAAAGCAATTTAGATCAAGGACTTTATTGTTCTAAGTAAGTACACAGCTTAACAACTTCAGTTTCTTTTTTCAGTAACATTGAAAAAAAAATCCAAATAGGTAGCGTAAGCCTATTAACGAGGCACACCAAAACCCCCAAGATTTTAACTATAGGATGACTGACACTGCCCAGAAGAGAACCTGGATCAAGTCCTTGATCATAACTTTATCCATTTTGCCCCTCCATACTGCTAAAGTCTTTTAAGACTGCCATACAAATGTTGTTCTGACAATTGCGTTAACCTATTTATCTTAGAAAATTTCTGTATTTCTTTACAATCCGTTTAGCACAGGCATGATTATGCATATTTACTTTAGAATACTTCTTTGCCTCCCCCAATTTAAGCCTAAAAGATGATGCTGTTTGATGATCATCTTAACTCGGGTCAATCAGCAGCAATTTGAATATTGTAATAGAAAGCCACATGTGTGTCCATGGTCATTGAAAAAAAAAAACAACCCAAAAATAAAATAAAAAAATATCAAAATATCCTGCTAAATAAATCTTTGGCTCTGTCTGTGGAGCTTAAATGGAGCAATGCCACTTTCAGATGAAATTAAGCACAGCTAGAATATGGCTAGTTTTGAGTGTGTACGATGAGGGCACCATGTCCTCAGCACCAGCCCTACAAATCCCCTCCTCCTGCACCACCCTACCTGCATCACACTCATGCAGGCGCAGATCCTCATGTACATGTATTATAGTAATGCAACTTACATAAAGCTACCTAAAGTGCATATAGAGAGACTAAAAGTTTGCCAAATCTAACCAGTTCTGTACATACACCTGTGGGAAGTCAGTAATTCAGTGCTTGTGTCTGTGTTCCCCTATATGTAAACAGGAAGGCCAATATGAGAACATGTAGCACCATCTGCTGTCATGATCGTGCTTTCAACATTTGTCAGTTAACTGGATGGCTGTAAAACACTCGTGCTGTGCATAAAACATTCATTGCCTCAGATTGTCTTCCTCCAGTGCACTCAAAAACACAGAGAAAACGAGCACTGCCACCTCCTAAATTCTGAGTCAAGAAGAAAAGGGAGAGGACCAGACAAAGCTCTGCTGCCAGCTTATCAATTTCATCTGTTTTGTTTTAAAAACTGACAGTTTTTGAACATAAATGAAGTCAAACAACAAAAATGTGCAACAAAGCATTTCATAAACTGGAGCAGTTAGTAAGAGGAGCTTGGGGTCACCGGGTTTTTGGAGTTGTTCAGGGTTTTTTTTACCTTCACTGAGTAATCTAGCTGAGTCTTTATCTTGAAGTGAGACATCTTCATTTAGCTGAAGAGGGCATCTAAAGCTGAGCATCTTCATCAGGTAATGAACTCCATCATTAAGACACTATGTACAGTTAAAACAAAAAAAAGGCAAAAACTAAGTTCTAATTAGTTAAATGACAGCCAGAAATATTTCTTGCTATGAATTTCCCAGAACACTATTTAAAGGGGGAGGAAATGGGTAACGGATGGGGAAAGGAAGCTGTATTTTCAAAGCAAATAGTCAAATTTAAAACTATATTCACATGCTGATAGAACTTTTCAATCTCCTTTACCTTCTTAAATATGGCAATGTTTTCTCGTAGCCATTCACTCCTTTCTTTTGCTGTATGACAATACATGTAAAGCAGGGCTCCTTTTCTCCAGTAAAGACATTCTAACAACTCTGCACCAAGGATGTTCACTGGCTGAAATAAAATCCAACAAACTAGACTAATCCCGAAAAACACCTGAACTACTCATATACATACTTACACATACAAATAGCATTATATTAAGCCTCTAACTTTAGAGGCTGTAGTTGACAGCAACAGTCACAGACACAAGCTTAACAGTTTGGATTTCAATTGCCAAAAGCACAGAGAATAATGAAATATTAGCAAGAAAAAAATGTGTGCATGCAACAGGCTGTTTGAAAAAAAATATTTTCAGGAATTTAAATACAAATAAGACTTGAAAAATTTTCAGAAGATCTTAAATACTGCCCATCAAAAACACAAATACTCCCATCCTGTTATAGATTTTTTATTTTAAAATACTGCAATAGCTAATTCTCTAGCTGAATAGCGTCAGTACTCACTTCTTCATTTATGCTGCATTCCCTCACTAGGGCTTCTGGCTCTGAAAGAATACAAGTAAGTTCTTTAACTTTCTGCAAGGAGGATTCTTCTGGAAAATCTTCATCCACAAGCTGGTTCTCCTCAAAATATGTAATGTCTAAAACAGCCTATGAAAACAAGAAGATAAACAATGTAGAAATGCTACCAGCAAAATAACCAGATAGTAGTGTGCAGTAACAGACAAACTTGATACAGTTTATAGAATTTTATGATTTTAAGGTATTTTTTCACATTTAGGTTACAAATGCTGGAAGAAATATTTCAAGAATGTTGACAGTGAATGTAAATTCAAACCCCTTTCTGACCTTAGGTTTTTAGGTTACATTTAGGTTACAAATGCTGGAATTAAGAAATATTTCAAGAATGTTGACAGTGAATGTAAATTCAAACCCCTTTCTGACCTTCAGTACCAGCACAATTATTACTGACTCTTATCTTCTTACTGAAACAAATGCAGTCCTGCACTTCCTGGATGTGCATTGCAGACACCAAGTTACAGAGATCTCCTTCTGATATACCCTCTTGCCTACACCCAACCCTCACCCCCTACACAGCAGACTTTCTTGAAAGGGAGCTCTTAAGGTCTTACACATATACCTGTGTATAGAGCTGCAAAAGCGTGGAAGGATGTTCTTTCCCTTCGTTACAGAAGTCCTTCAATTTATCCAGAGTAGCAGAGCCCTTTGCTAAGAAGGTATCTGAAGGAAGAACACAATGCTTCCTTAGCGCTGGAAAGCACTCAAAGCCTTGCTTACTCTCCCGTTTCATTTCATGTGGCTTTATCCTCCCTTGCACAACCTACAAGAGCAGCTGAATACAGCATTTCAACAGGCCCACTGTCCTGTCAGATTACACCTTTCACTGCTTAAGGGAATTCATGGCTGTGGTCTGATGCTTCAAAACCAATTCCACACACTCCATTCCCAAAGAAGTCGTGCATTTACAGGCACAACTCGCACACTTCAGGCCTCCTGCAGGAGGGAGACGCGGAGCCCTCAGCTGCTGTCCCAGAGCGGGCTCCGCGCCCTGGCCCGTCTCGCGGCTCTCCAAGACGCTACACAGAGCGGCGGCAGCAGAAGGCGGAGCTGCCCCGCGAAGCCGGGCAGAACCCAACCCCGTCCCCTTTCGCCTGTGGCCTCTCACCGCCGCTGCCCGCTCCCCCGGATGCCGCCAGCCGCCGGCCCAGAGCTGCCAGCCAGGGCCGCAGCACGGACACGGCACCCCGGGCCTCTGCACCGCCCGGCTCCCCCATCGCAGCCGCCCGGCACCAGAAGAGAGGGCGGGCCTGCCGCGATGGCGGCCGCTGGGAAGGTGAAAGGCACGCAGGCGCAGCGGCGCTGTGGCCTCGGTCTCCGGCTGCTCGCGCTTCACCGATGGTGAGGGGCGCCTGTCCCGGCAGAGAGGGATGGGACCGGGCGGATGCTCGTGGAGCTCACTCCCCGTTCGTACCAGCTGGGCATTCCGTAGCGACAGCGAGGACCAATAGGCCTCGCCTGACCTCCAGGGCGAGGCCGCAGGAGGAGGGCAGGCCTGCTGGGCAGGCCTTGCGTCACTGGAGGCGGGACTTCGGGGTTGGTTTTATGTGGGGTTTAAAGCTCTCGGTTACAAGAAACATTTATGGCTCGTGCAAATCTGTTTCGGGGCCCCCAGAAACACATGGCGTGTCCATATGTTGCCCCCAGAAGAATGCTCTACAGCTTCACTGTGAGATAGGGCTTGCCCATAGGTGAACTAAAACGAAAGGCAGTGGTGTTTTTTAAGACCAAACCCGTATTTTCTGTTGATAAATACATTGGTGGTTCTGACTTACATTTTAGTATTGAATTACTTAACACGTAGAGGTACAGCTGTGAAAGTACACTTAAATAATCTTGAAACTATAGCTTTGGTTAGAGACATTGGAAAGTTTTGCTCCAATGTTTTGTTCACCTTTAAATAAAACACTTGAGAAGTGCTAAATAGATTCCATATAAGTTTTCCTTCTGTTTTTAACAAAGTCTTGCTACTGCCTCCTCATCAAATCAGCTAATACTTCATGTTGTGTAGTTACAAAAATGCTGTAATTCACTACATTGCTTCTCTATCTTTCTCCACCTCTCTACCTGCCTGGAAAAAGCTAATGTCTCAGTGTTCACTGGCATAACTTGTCACCTCACAATATTCTGGATTTGTTAGATTGATTATTTTAAAAGAATAATTGACCAAAGAATTTTCTTCAAGTCATAGTGTGCATTATGTTTGTGCCCATGTCCCACTGAATTACTTAAAAACAAAAACCCAAAACAACATAAAAAAGTGCCATTTACTGAATAAACTACATTAGGTAGTGGAAAGCTATTTACTTACAGACATAGGGGTTTTTTTGCTGTTGGCTGTGTTAGCTGTCCTGGAAGAGTTGCCAAACAGATGATACTCAACAAAAGAAAGTAAACCCTAAAACGCAAAGTTGTGTTTACTTCCAGAAACAGTCTATTTCTAGGAGAAATCTCTTAACATTTTGGTTGGATGTGTATTGTCATGCATTCCTGCTTAGTCTGTAGCCAGATACAAGGAACAGACATAGGGAACAGCTGTGTTGCCAATACAAAAAGTACTATGGTAGTTAACCATATCATACCTAGGAGCAGAAGATGTGGTGCTTCATGTTTGAAGTGGAATACAACACTTTCCCTATTGTCAGTTTTGGGGACTTTCTTCAGATCCTTTGCTTGCTTGGTCCTGCCTGCACTTCTCTGTTTCAGTACTGTGTTGCTTTCTTAGTTTATTTCTTCATAACCAGTTGAGTGAGCAGGTGGGTCTGCCCTTAATGGTGCAGGATATGTCATCCAGCTTTCAAGATGTCTCTTGAAAAACAAAACAAAACATAAACCTAAAGTGTTTGTGTGCTGAGTCATTTGATTAAGGAAGTGGTCCCCTTTTTCTTACTGTGCTCCAGGCACTGTTACAGTTTATCTATATTTTGAAATCTAGATGTTTGTGCAATAACTTTTTTTTCTCACAGAATTTGTTATATACTCTTTGTTTAAATATACAGTGAAATCTGGTTTTGATGTTTCTCATCAGTGTCTGAGATGAAAGAGGTGTGTTTCTGTATATAAGCTGGTAAAATAGAAGTTGCTTCAAATGTTGAAAAGGGGAGTGATGTCCACTTCCCGGAGAAAAAGAGGACCTTGAAGATTTTTAGTTTGTTGATTTGTTTGCATCTTTTTTATTAATTTATTTACACACAAACCCTCCAACCTGATTTTGCCATGAAATGTGTGAGGAAGCAGTGAACAGCACCGGGGCTGAGCAGGCTGGAGTGCTGTCTCGTCGCTGCATTGAGCAAGCCCTCCCCATGGGCCCTGCCTCACTCCTGACTGCTGTGGCCTCTGTCCATCATTCCTCAAGATGTAGTTCCTTCAGCACTAGGTCCCCAGGCTGCGTTTTGTAGTTTGTGGAGCTGCTATGCTAAACTTCTCCCCACATCTTGCAAAGTGCTTTGGTCTGAAGGCTGGTGAAAGACTAGGTGTCTGACTGTCGGAGAGAACAGTGTGCTCAATTTGCCTTATATTTTTTTGTTTTTACTTAGAACCTGTTTAGATGGATCCCTGCTAGACATGTGAAAGAGCACGGTATGTTTTGAGGTTTGCTCCCTCTCACTGTATTTTTCAGAGCTGGGAGATCTTAAAATTCAAATTCTCAGAGCATCACACAGAGATTTGCATCCAGTCTTTCTCTGAAACACTCTTTCTGGGTGATACTTAACATAGATTACTTTGAAGCAGAAAACTGTTTCACTACATAGAGTTACTTTAGGGAAAGTAAAAAAAAGTGTAAAAAAAAATATGGTAAAAAGATGAAGGGATTTATGTTGGATTTATGGTCTTTCAGTTCCTGGCACTATGTGTTTTTAAGGCCACTGTTACTAGTAGCGAAAGGCATAACGTGTTGGCTCTTCAGAGGCAGGTTTTGTTTCTAAATTAGTGGAAGCACAACAGCAAAAGCATTGTGGCGTGTAAACAGTTGTGGTTGACGGAAGATGGAAAGCTGTTAGGATTTTTCCCTCCGAGCCAAGAATATGTCATTGCCACAGCTGTGTGTATATATGGTGTGAATATAACATAGCTTCTGTAGATTGCTACAGTAAATTTTGCTGCTTTTTTCCTTCCAAACCACATACCCTGAGCTTCTGAGATCTGTGTGTGTAAAAGTGTATGCTGCTAGAGAACACATTGTAACAAACAAAGGACAAGACAAAATAGCCTCGGGTTAGTTGCACCAGGGGAGGTTTACATTAAATGTTAGGAAATATTTCTTCACCGAAAGGGTTGTCAAGCATTGTAACAGGCTGCCCAAAGAAGTGGTGGAGTTGCCATCCCTGAAGATATTTAAAAGGTGTGTAGATGTGGTGCTTAGGGACCTGGGTTAGCTGTGGAATTGGTAGCGCCAGGTTAATGGTTAGATTTGATGATCTTAAAGGTCTTTTCCAACCCAAGCTATTCTATGGTTCTGTGATTCTGTACACATTGGAATAATTTTTGTCCTATAGTATTCCATAAACACTAACTGTCCTGATATATGTAACTATGGAACTGGGCTAGCCTCACATCTCTACATACTTGGAAACTTTGAATGAGCAATGTGCATAATCTACCTTGCTATAAAAGTCTGTGACACATTTCTGTAAGGTAAAGAAACAATACGTAAACACAAATGTGTCATTTCTCTATGTTTAGTATTATCCAAACTAGAAAAATGTTTTTTAGCTTTAATCAATGATATATAATTGTCTAGAGAAAGTAGCTTTGCACAGCAATGATTGATACACTTTTACCATTATTGGCTACATTAGTTACTGTTATCCAAGAACTTTTAACTTGTGCAGCTGTCACAGAAAGGGTGTTTGCCTTAGGCAAGTGGGCAAGATGTATTAGGGAGACACTCCTGCTGAGTCACAGGGTTCAGCAGGGAGACCCTTGCTTCCCAGCTGATACCCAGATATCAGAAGAACTGTGTGCAGCTGGATTCAATCCTAATCTCCAACTTGGTCAATGGTTTTTGCCTGAGGATTGTATAGTGCTTACACCTACCTGTCCAAATTTGTCCCGCATACCAGTACTGTCACATTATGTTTTGACCAGCCTGCCAGTGTCCCAGGAAAGATAAGACCCTTGTGCCCAACTAACCCATTTGTGTCCTGTTACGGGGACTCTACTTGACAGCCCACCAAATCTGGGGGTGATTTGACTAACCTATTCAGGCACCTGCACTGACAGCATCATCAAGTCAAATCCTGTATATCAAATGTTCAAGTCTCTGCAGACTTACACAAAATAGACTTCAGCTGAAGTCTTTTATTATATATACAAGTTTATATAAAAATACAAGTATATGTACAAGTATATGTACACAAATGTATATATAAAATACAAGTTTGTGACAGGGTAGGATTCAGAGATTGCTAGTGCTAAGGTAGTGTCTATAAAAACAAGCTTGAAGTGATACACAACCAGACTATAATAATTAATAACAGCTAGTGTGAGTTAGTCATTCAGCACGCATAAGATAAAGTTCTTAACCAATAGGCATCCCTATGGGGAGAAGACAGGTTCAACCCATTAACTGATCCCAGAAGTTATGATGGAGTCATTCCTACTTTCCCTTTCCCAATTTCACATATTTATACAATGGGATTCAGGTTAATAACTCCCTGTAACACTCCCACCATGCATGAAGGTGTCAGTTAATTTGTATAGTGTCAGTTAATTTGTATAAGGTCAAATCATTTTCATCAAAAGGACATCCTAATCAAGTTTTGCTGATGTGTGAAGCCATATGTTGACAATATTCATGTGCTTCCAAGATGTATCAGGCTTCAAGGATAGTCCTTCCCAATTAGAGATTCATTAGCCCTGTTTCTTAATCTATCCGCACAAGAGCAAGGCCACCTCTCCTGCTGTCAGTTCTTAGTTTGTCAGTGTTGTTCATCTTGGCCTCGTGGGAAGCCCTTGCATCCGTCCAGGCTTCTCCATAGTAACACAGGTTTCAGGTTTTTGATCTGTGCCTATGGAGCTGAGTGACTCTGGTCACACACATTGTTACCAGTTGGTGTAAAATTCCCTTGCTTTGCTTTTTAAAGTACAAATCCGGTTTCCTTTTTTTGCAGCTGCTGTGTGGTTTATCAGTATATGGTGCCCGCGAGTTCCCGCTCCTGCAGAGAGTACAGCAGAGCCTGGCCTTGAAGCCTTTGCTCCGCTCCACACTCTGGTCAATTTGTCTCAGGATGTGCAAGGCTGCAGGGTTACCTGGGGAACTGTCACCGGGTAGATTCCATGCATGCCAACTGCATCCCACCTTGGAAGTAGCACCTGCGCTTTACCCTAAGGTTCCCTTAGTGTTGCAATATAACTTTGTGAG